ATGTTGGGGACAGTAGTTTTCCAACAGACCTCAATTATATGAGAGATTTAAGAAGAGTTCTCGATTTTTCAGTTTGTTCAACTTTTATTCGTTGCTAGGAAGGAGTGGCCATTTCTATGTTCCTTACATGCTGTACTGGAAAACAGAAGTCTCTATTTGTTCTCTAACAATTTAAAACTTCCCTGAGAAATCATCATGCTAGATTTTTTTTTTTTATGTTTATGCCACTTCATTTATTTAAACTTTTGAGTGGACTTCCCCACTCCCATACTAATACTCCATCTTAATGCATCTGGAGATTATTGAGTCATACAGAACAATAAAGAGATCTAACCTTATTTTCCAATTGCCTCTTATCTAATGCTGTCATAAATAATCTTATCTTTCCCTCAGTTTTGTAATTTCTCTTTATAATAAATTAAATTATTATATTTTTCTGTTTTCTGTATTTCTATTTTGTTCTACTGATTTGGTACATACTCCACAGTCAAATAAAAGTTTCGAATTTATTCTGATTTTAAAATACATATTTATACTTGGCTGAGGAGTTTCTATCCCCTCATCCCTTATTATTTTTCATTTCCAAATTTTGTCTTATTTTACTAGCTTAATCTTCCTAACAAATTTTGAAATAATTTTTAACAATTCTTCAATTGCAACTGTATTAAATTGACAGATTAATTTCATGAGTCATGAATATTTTTAAGCTAAATCAAATGTTGCATCAAATTAGGGATGTTTTTAGTTGTGATCAACTAAAAACCCAAGTTACACTGGCTTAAGACAATACTGTAGACTAATAGCCTTTAAAAATCCAGCAGTGAGGTGGGCTTCTCCTGCAGCTCAAACAGGGTTCTGGCTCAGTTTCTCCATGCTTCTCTGGGCTGTGCCCTCTCCCTGTGCGCTGTCTTCCTTCATTCACAAGATGGCTGCCAGCAGCAACCTCAGCCACGTGTTTTATTGTTCACATCCATGCAAAAGTAAAAGCGCTACTCCTCATAAACATCTAACAGAAGTCTTGTGCCCTCTCCCTGTGCGCTGTCTTCCTTCATTCACAAGATGGCTGCCAGCAGCAACCTCAACCACGTGTTTTATTGTTCACATCCATGCAGAAGTAAAAGCGCTACTCCTCATAAACATCTAACAGAAGTCTTGAGCTAGTCACCATGGCCAGGGGAACTGAGGTTACATTCACTGTACACATGCCCAGTCAGAGCCCACTTTTGGATCTGGAGATGGAGTCATTCCAACCCAAACTAGTGGGCCACTACAAAATAGGGGGAATTAAAATAAATGCTGGGACTAACCATGATCTACACTGCCTTTAGCCCAATGAAAACTTCTCATAATTTAAAAATTTCCCCAGACATTTCAAATTTCTTATAACATAGCAGTATACACCTGTTTAAAGTACGCATACACTTATTCCTGCAGATGTGCACACACATGTACACAGTCTATGTAAATTCTCACAAGGCCCAATAACTAGAACTAAAAGGGGAAATGGCTATATCAAAGTAAGGGAATATACTGGCAAACTAGAAGTGCAATTAATATTATTTAATATTATAATTGAACATGTAATTCATTGTGCTAGTTAGAAAAATATACTTATATGCCTTACTGCTCACCAGCTACACAGATAACTGATGCCTACCACCTCTGTATTTATTCAAAATATTCCTTTTAGTCTATTTCTCTTCAAAGAAACTACTCTTGAAATCTTATTTAGTTTTTATCAATGTTTTATTATTCACTGCATCATCTATATAAAATATTTTCTTCAGTTGATGTTTGCATGTAATTTTTATTTGGTCAGGGTACACATACATATGCTGCTTCTCCCAAATGTTCTGTCTTCTCAGAGACAAGGCCATATTCTAGACTAATCTGCCTGTTGAACCCCCTACCAAGGAATTTAGCAGAGACTACTATATATTAAGAATTACTCAATAAATATTCATCAAGTAAAACACATCATCAATTATAGAAAATGTATTCTGGATAATTACATACGGCAAGGAGACTATTAAGAATTTATGAACCTTATATTTCTCCAAAGTAGATTTCTACTGCTCCCATAACATGCCTTGCCACTCATTCCTTCGTTGTTTTCACCTTTGAATTAACTCAATTGAACAATCATTTATTTAGAAGATGCTAGGTGCTCAGGATACAAATAGAGCTAATAAATTACTTTGTCCTCAAAGGAGTTATAGTCTGGCTACTTAATCTCCCTTCTCAGAATGTCCTCCCTCCCCATGTTCTACCTATTCTAACCCTACCCATTCTTCAGAGTCCATAATGAATTTTACTTCCTCCATCAATCCTTCCTAGGCTATTTTATTCTCAATGTTTCTTCTCTCTGCAGAAATCTTAGCATGTAATATGTATGCATCTAATTCTTACTTAATCTTCATTAATTTTAATGTAGCTGTGAATCCAAACTTTTTCTGAGTGGCACAGGGTTGCAAGAAGGAATAGCAGACATTGAGTTCAGCTTAAAAGGAAGGAAGGAAAATGAGCTGAGAAAGATTGGTCTTACTGGAAGGAAGCCAGCTCAGGCTACTAAGACAAACTCTTCCATATTTAGGAGCTGCTAACGTAGAAACACCACAATCTCAGCCAGCTTTGTCAGGGGAACAAGGTGTCATCTGGGAGGAAAGGTCATGGGCCAGCCAACTTGTTTTAAAAGGACAGATTTACCTTGATCACAGCCACAATCAACCTGGTTATTATACCCACACCCCCACTCTTCCTCTTGCTTGATGAGTTCTAAGATCTCTTCAACAAGGTTGGGATGGGGAGCAGGGAGAGGATGTTTATTTTACAATTAGATACTTAAGCTAAGTGCATGGTTGAGTTAATACTTCACTGAGACGAAGTTTCAACTAAAGTATAATTAAGTTATCAATCAAAAATGCAAATCATATATTATTAATTTATTTCTCAGCTTTATTGCAAAGCAGGAAGGAAGAAAGGAAGCGAGAGAGGTAGGAAGAGAGTGGCTCTTAGGAGACCAAAGGTATCTGACGAGGAGGAACACGTGAACAGCCCCACAGGGATGTAAGGAAGAAGCTAGGGTCAGGAAAGACTCAGACTTCACCTAGGATTGGCTCTATTCACCTGCACATGTGCTGAGACAAATAGAAGCTGCAACTGACCGGTTAGGATCGGGGAGCTAATAAAGCAAAGAACTCTATTCAGGAAAGACTCAGACTTCACCTAGGATTGGCTCTATTCACCTGCACATGTGCTGAGACAAGTAGAAGCTGCAACTGACCGGTTAGGATCGGGGAGCTAATAAAGCAAAGAACTCTACTTGGTAGGATTTAAGCTTTTCCTTATTACTTATTTCTTAACACTAGTAGTTTCCTACAGAGGAGCTGTATTCACAGGCAATTCATAAGAAATATAAGAAATACAAATATTTGTCATATTCATTTTCTTCCATTTCAAAGTTAAGAATCTTTTCTTTTTAATTTACTGTAATTGTGTCCCTTTAATAGTTTTCCTAAAAAAAAAGAAAAAGAAAAAAAGTTTTCCTTTCTTTTAAAATATACATTCTTTGGGAAAATTGTTGAGGTCAATATCATAGAATAAAAATCTATTTTCTTACAAAATGACCCCTAGAAACTTTGAATACAGAATACTACATGAAGTAGACCATTGGTGTGACTCAGGGTGGCATATCTGGACTTGTCCTTTAAGTGAATTTTAATATGGAAGACACTACAGAAGATGACCACTGCCAAAAGTGATTTTTAAGTCACTGAACATTATATTTATCATTCAGAAGAGGACTGTCATTCTCAGAATAAAACCAAAAGAACATTTTCTAAAAAAAAATTAACATGTACAAGAAAGTTTTTAAGCATTTGGAAAACATACTCTGCGTTCACCACAAATTAGTGCTGATTTGTAAATTTCCACTGTAGAGGAGTTTCATATCTTGAAATGAAAATTTGTGGTTACCAAAAATCCGTATTTGAAAACTATTTCTTAACTGTGCAGAAAAGAATTCAATGAGGGATATTTTCACCATGTTTTAAACTCGTAAAAATTTTAACAACCATTACATCAAGGAAATTATTTTTTAAAAAACCAGAAACTCTGAAAAAGCCCTTTCCATTCAAGAAAAAGTCAAGCTAAATATTTATTGATTGTACTTCAATCATGTAGTAACTATGAAACAGTAGATCAGAAGTATAGTGATCTTGAACAAAAATAAAAATTTAGTGTCAAAAATCTACAGGATTCAAACAGTTTTATCTCATCACCTGTATATGTCTTCTAACTGCAGATCAAAATCTTGAAGTTTCTTTTGAAATTTGTCTGTAAAGTTATAGAACTCATTAAGGATTGAAGATTTCAAATCAGGGTATGGACATTCCAAACTTTCTAATTCCATGGGCAATTCACTAAGCAGGTTAGTTTTTTCTTCTGAAAAATGATCTAGTATCTAAAAAAAAAAAAAAAAAGGATATGATTATTTTATTAAATATAAAGGGTAAATTGATAAACAAATAAATTACTAGCTTTATCACACTTACTTTCATACTCCAGTCTAAGAGATCATTTTCTATTTTCTGTTGCTCCAGGACAAGTCTTTCAAAGACAGCTTTCAATTGTCTTTTTACAGAGTCAACCTATAGGACATTTGGAACCAAGTAATAAGCAAATTGTTACAATTCATCCAACATTTATATTTTAACACACCAGGATTATTCTCAAAAGCCAATAAGTGGTGAAAAATTACACAAGGGCAAGTCCCTTTTACTGACCTGTGGAGGGGAGATAAAGAGATGCCAGCCAGGCAGTGCTCATCAGACAAAGGAGCCTCAATGAGGCTTCCAGACACTTAGTCCAAAAATGGCTCAGAAAGTACAGTGTGGTCATAGCCACTCTGCGCCCACATTTGGAATTTGTCTGTGGGAAGGCTGAGAACTTTCCAGGTTGTCTCTGCTTTACCACTCCTTCCTTCCCTTCCATCTTTGTCTCTAATCCCCAGTTGGGCATGGATTTAAAAATTTTTTATTATTAATTATGAAAGCAATATAACAACATCACAAAACAACTGAAAAAGAGAGAAATAAAATAACCTAAAAACCTACACCTAGAACAACTATACTCATGGAGATTATGTGCTATTGAGCGCAGGCAGTTAACAGCTGATGAAAGAAATACCTGAGAAAGTATCAGAAGGAAGTAAGTGATGTAAAAACAGTGTGGTATGATAGGGAGTGACTGTGGCTTCTCAGGGCAGGTCTCTCAAAGGAAGCGACATTTAAGCCAAGACCTAAATGACGG